CTGCTGCTTCTCATGGCCTCTTTAAGGCCTTTCCTGATATTTTTAAACTTCCTTTCAACTTGCTGGAGGTCTGGATGTTATCTCTGGAAAAACAGAGTAGGTATTTCAGTAATTTGTTATAGAAGTGGATTCTATTTTCTCATGAGATTATAGTCATATGAAAGGTATGTTAATGCTTATTTTGTGAAATGTGCTATATGCACGCTGCTGTTTTCTGCACACGCATAATATTAAGCAAGTATAATAGCTGTGACCAAAAAAACTAGATAGATATTTAACATCTATGAACATTTTCCCCATATGTACTTTGTTGAGGAATTTGGCCCTAACTGTTTCAAAACTGATTAAGATTCCAGTCAGAGACAATCTTCAATTTTTAAATAAATGTCTATTTGTATTTGGCTTCACTGAATCATAGATATTTGCAGCTTCCTTTTTATCTTGCTCTTATAAAAACTTAATATTTATATTTGTCAAAAAATACTTAATCTTGACCTTTTTACTTTTGAAGGGCATTGCTAAGCAACACTTGTTATGGAAAAGCAGCAACAATCAGCCTAGTTCTCAATGTAAAACAAGTGAAGCAAAGTCCAGGAGTTCAACTGAAGGACACAATTCTTGTCCCAGCTCTGCTTAGCTGATCTCGATTATGAAATTCTGACAGGAAAGAAGAATTTTAACCTGGGGGCAGTTTCTTTCCCAGAGGATAGAGGGATTATGGAGAAAGATGGTATTTGATGACTCTGGACCATTGGCCAGAAACCATTTGGGATGCTGGAATTCTTATAGTTATTAATTCAGGTGTTCTTGTCAGCTATTACAGCCTGCACCAGAGGACTTTAAAGTGGCAGATCAGGAGGGTAACATAGATGTGATTAGGAGAAGGAATATCTAATAAGACATGATTGCTTAACTTTTGAAGGATACAGTTATAGTCATCTGAGACATAAGGTGCTTTTACCAGTTTTAATCTGACAGGTGACTGACAGATAAAATGATGATGACACAAAACCTCATATACATAACAGATAGGTTGTAAAAGTGCTCAGAAAGTAATAGAGGATAAAGAACGAGTTTGGGAAATTGCCTAATTAATGATTTAAGAATATTAAAAAAAATGGGTGCCCATTGAATAGTAAGGATAAAGCATACAGCAGCTTTCCTTACATGAGAGCAAATTGCAAAGTAAAGGTCTTTTTGCAGGTGATTTCATCAGTACCACCATAAAGGGGGGAGTGGGTGTATTTTTGGCATAGGAACATATTAATCAGAGAGAAGATCTTAATCTGAAGATAGGCACTGTTGACATACTTAGATAATGTTTAAAGTCTGTAGAAATACAGTAGAATTATTTTCTTTAATCCAGGTCTATAGTGCAGGGGAGGTGCAGATATGTATGATTCCTTTAAACATAAACCAATGCAGAATGTTAGGTTTAGTTACTCATTACACTTTAAGCTCTCAAATGTTGATCGGTGTTAGTGTTGGCTCTATTTTAGAGCAGTTGCATGTTTGGGCTAAAAACTTTCTCTGATGTTTCAGACCTGCAGAGCTGTGACTTGCCACTAGAGGTCTGGTGAGCAGGGTCCTGACTAGGAGCTACAGCTTTGAGTTTCCACTAGAAGGCTGGTGAGCCAGGGCAGGCTCCTATCTGAGCTCTAGGTGTGGGTGGTTGGAGAGATGGGTTGGTGGGACAGGAACATGAGGCTGGAAGGGGGAGTTTAATGATGGGGAGCGGGTAATGAAATGGGAGGTGGAGAGGCAAGGGTTGGGAATGATGGCTGGGTGGTGAAATGAAAGAAGTCAGCCACTGAAGCCACAAAGAGATAAAGTAAAAAGAAGTTAAAAAAAAAAAAAGTCAAAAAGTACTAGTAAATCAAATCCTCATGTTTTAATGAACTGGGATTGAGTAACCTTAGCTCATGGGGACACTGTCCTTGCCCTGGGAAGGAAGCCCCAGCTCACAGGGACCCCAGTGTGGCCCCCTAGCCTTCCCTCCCAGACTGGTTTGTACCCCTGTGACCTGCCCCAGCAGGTCACATGGGGGGGGGTGGGCAGGGGGATGGAGAGTTGGTTTGGTTCTAGTGCCACCTGCTGGACAGTAGAGTTGAGGGGGTGGAAAGTTGTCCGCACAGAACAGGATGGTGGGAAGAGGGGACAGTGCTTCTTAGGATGCTGGAAGACTGAAACTCAGGCAGCTTGCCTGTGGGGAGTGGTCACACATTCATGGAACACAAGCTGGGTAACATGGATCAGAGAGAAACCTGCCCTGGAGCGGCATAACTTTAAAACACAAAGTGAGTTCTTAAAAGTAGTATACACATCTTAATATGTGAAAAATCCAGGGGTTAAGAGCTCCCTGAGCTGCCTAGAATGTGTGTGTTACAAGGTCTGCTGAATTCTCTAATGGAGTGAGTGCAGAAGAATGAGAAGTCACTCTGAACTGGGTAGTATAATTAACTAAATCTGACTTTGATTTATTCTGACTAAGACACTGCCTTTGTTTTTACCGTTTGTGTGTTTTATCAAATCATCCTTGCCGATTAAAATGAAAGGCTCAGCAGTGCTGGGATGGCGTAGCATTTCCTAAAAGAAACTTTTATAATGAATATCTGTGTAAAAATGAAAATAAACTGTTGCAAAACATATTTATCTTTCACAGTTCAGCTTTAGCAAAAATTTCCTGGCAACCTAGAGAGTGCAAGTGATGGTGGGTATTAGAAACTGATTAATTAATGTTTGGATCTTATTATGCCTTATATTTCCGCTACTAAGTTAATATGGCAGGATATGTGTTGTATGTTATAGGGCTGCAAAATCAGAGAAAATTTGTAAAACATATATTGCTTGTGTGTAGGGAAAAGTTTACTATGTCATGTAACTAACTGCATCCATTCCCCACCAAACATACGTATGGGTCATATGGCACTAATGAAGGTATGACAAAACTGAAGCAAAAGGACTCTAGAAATGATGTGTTCTGTTTGGTTTTTTATCTTTTTTCAGGCTGAAACAACTTCAAGTTTGTTCCCCTTGGCAAATATTTACAATGACCGTACACATAACACATCCCGTATTTTCTCATATCAGTGTACAAAGCAAGCTAGAGGAGACTGAGGGCCAGAGATAGCCCATAAGTCAGTGGTGGACTTGGGAAGAGAACGTAGACCTCCCATCATCTCCTCTTTTGGGCTACAGTAATGTCATGCTCTGTGACATCCATTGGTAGGATCATAGATTGTTATAGAGAGTGGGAGGGCACTGATAATATCATCTTGGCAATTGATTAGCTTTTCTTTCAGGGGAGAAATGGAAGTCTTCTGGTTCTAATCTGATACCAACTCAAATGAACCTTAAAAATAATTTTTATTTTAATCTTTTATAAAATGAAGGTTTTACTGGAATATATTGTTGCCTCTACAGAAAAAGCAGCTCTCAAGTAATGAAAAGGGCCCGTTTTCATAAATATCGGTTGTAGAGTACAGAGAAGAAATGTCCTAACTTTCAGATATTTGACGTCTGAACTGTTTTGTGTGTGAAGTTATTTTGTGATCTGTTGGATTTTTTTTTTTGGAGATAGTGGAGGAAGTTTTTGAGTTCTGTCAGTGTCATGCTGTCACATAAAATATGTTAGTAATTGGGCCTGGAATTTATAAAGACTAATGCCAAGGGGTTAGATTTTCTTGGTTGCACGATGTGTCATTGTCTGAAAGAATGAAAGATTTTGAGCAATGAGAAGAATGTATCAGTCTCACAGATAAGAACATTCTTTTTTCCCACTCTACTTCTGTTAAAGTTTATTCCTATGCTAATATGAATTAACTTTTTAAAGTAGTATATTAAACTGCATTAAACTTCTGCGGGCACCTTTCTATTCTGAAGTAAAAGGGATTTAATGCAGTTAAGTTTAATAACTAAAATAAAGTTTACTTAATTTAGTTTAGGTTTAGCACTAAAGTAAACTAGATCTTTTACCTGCTCACCTAAAGTAAATCAAGTTCAACTGAATGCATTCTGAATAAGACAGTCTATAAAGGGTTTTAGTGTTGTTGTTTGTGTAATCCCCTTTCAGTTCACACCACTTATGAATTTTGATTAATTTAATTAGCGTCCCTATGTAGATAAGATATACAGCATTTTTGTGAAGTTAAAAACTGCTGTGATGCACTCTTTTTATGGTCTCTTTGGCAGCTTGCACACATTTAAAAAAAAGCAAACTGCACTTTACTGGAGGAAGCAGCTCATTAGTTCAGCCTGGTTCCACAGTGTCTCCATAAGGTGCTTCAGTGGGGCTTTTGGGCACTTCTATTTAATAGCTGATTCAATTAGCTATTAGATAAAAGCAGCAAAAAAAGCCCCACTAAAGCACCCAATCCTAAAGTGCTATCTCTTCTGAACATGTGGTGGGCTTGGAATGGGAGCGTGCAGAGTTTAAAGTAAAGCGTCTGGTTTGTTTGTTTTTTAAACTTCTGAAAGCATTGTTGTGTAGTTTCTTACGCTTGTGCTTCCGATTGCATCAACAACATATATTTTTCTTATGGTACATTTTATGTGCCTGATATAAACCTAACCTTTTCATAATCAGCTCTATTTAAATTGTTATAGGACAGTTGTCATTTTGCTTCATAAATCTGATTTACCAAAGTGTTCAGGTTTAAATATGCATTATCTTGGTTGTAATATAGTTCTTGCAATATTGCTAGAACATTAGATTATTACTGCAATACCATGTTATTACTGACGCTTCAGCCCTATAAAGGGAGCCATCCACTTCGGAGACAGATTCCTTTGGAGGATCTACCTTTTAAAGTCAATAGCAACTTTTCTTTCATTACATTTGTGGGAAGACTGGAGCCTCTAATCATTTGGATCTTTGTTTTGGATCAGTTTTAAATATTAACACTTGATTCAACGGTGTACAAAATTAACCAACAAATGAATACAAGCATACACCTAAGTACATTACTGTAATTAGCAGGTGTTGAATCTTCCTAACCTGCATGTCGGAGAATGAAAGCTATGCTGGCATTTACCTGCTGTTGCTCTTTATGCATGATTTCAGCTATGACTTCATAAATGCTTCCCAGAATCCTGTTGGATCAAAACCCTGACCATGTTCCATTTTTGTCTTTGTTGTTTGGTAGGACGATGAAGTGGTTCTGCAGTGCACTGCAACTGTTCACAAGGAACAACAGAAACTGTGTCTTGCTGCAGAAGGATTTGGCAACAGACTCTGTTTTTTGGAATCCACTTCAAATTCTAAGGTATAGCAAACTGTCTGATACAGTGGTGTTATAAATTTCATTAATGGGTTTTGGGGATTTTTGTTGGTACAAAATAGCTCATTGTACATCTAGTAAACAAATTATCTGAGGGCATAGACAAATCACATATATCTCCAAACATCACATTTTAGTCTCTTGCAACATTTAATCATCTTTTTGTCATGTACAGGCTGGATTACTGAAGTGCACTTTCTTTTGAGTTACCCCTGAATGCCATCTGGCACAGGGAGCTCATTTCAGGCATCTGTGCTTTTCTTTTATTTGCCAGTTCACAAATTTGGTGTTGTGTAGTGCAAAGATGCATTTGTTTACTCTGGCTTTAAGGCCACACCAGAGGATACTTATCCTACCAATGATATAAGCAAGATTTGATTTTGGGTTTTTTGCCTTGGTATAATTGTTGCTTTAAATTGAGTTAATGTTCCAAAATAGTACAATTCTAGGTTAAATATTATGTTATTAATTATGATTTATTTATTATTAAATTATTACATTCATGTATTTATTTTATGTATACAAGATGCTATTACTGAATTATTTACATACTGCACAGTTCTTTCTCCCAAAAATCAGATCTCTAAAACAGAAGGGGGTGGGCGTTATTTTAAGCAGGGAAACTGATTTTTCTTTGTTGAAGTAGAAACCTGGAGGAATAGAAACATTGCAACATCACTACAAGGTGGCTTCTGGGCTTCTCCCTCTGTCAGCCTTCAGAAGGGAAAGGGCAGTGTTTGCTATAGTGCTAACTCTCAGACACAGCCACTACAGTCAGGATCTCCTGCAGTTAGCATTAAGCCACGACTGGAAAATCTTTCTTTCTTCATTCTGTCTTTCCAACACAGCACATCTTGTTTTGGGGAATGTGATATGCAAGAAGATATGGCGTAATATAGAATGGCCTTAATTAAAAGATTATCTACTATAATGGTTAGCGCTAAATAACGGCTTCCATTGTACGCTTTCATACATGTTGGTAGCTCTCCCTAAAATAGAGACATTTCTGAGGGCAGATCTGGGCTTGCTGCTTATAGCATATGTGAACTTGATTAAGTAAGTAGCATCTGTTTTCCTTTTTATAAATGCATTTGTTTGGATACACTATAAACACATAGCATAGTTATGACTGAATACATACATGTTTATAAAAAATAAATGCTAAATACATAGAAGACATCAGAAAGGTAAGATCTCTACAAAGAAATTAGTTAGGTAGATCTTCTTTAGCTTGCCAACTTCTATAATGTCACTATTAATTAAATATATTGGCTTCCATACATTTCAAAGTAATACTTTGTTTTCAGTGCCTCATCATGTTGTATGTATTATTCATCATAATAAAAAAATTATTGGAATATTAATGATTCATTATAATAGCAATGATCCTGATGAATTCATTCAGGCTCTTCCGTTCTAAGTGAATCTTTTTAATAATAAAAATGTGTCAGAATGGAAGTAAGTATAGTGCTGGCTGCCTGTAAGGCCAGAAAAGCTAGTCTGTTTTAATGAGTTTATTATCACTCAATAATTTTGGATATTAAACTTCCAGTCCTCCATCAGTCTGCACACACAGACAGACTTTCGCCTATACATTCTTGTCTTGAAGGAAAACAATAAATTTCAAAGCAGTTTTCAGTTCCTACTCTTTGCTCTGATCTTTTCCTGGTGCGTAATGACTGAGCCAGCATCTATGCTGCTAGTTTTATAAGACCTTCCATAAGAAAGGCAAGACCACTGTTGTTTTAATGTTTGAAGGCTCACAAGCCCTTAGATGAGCTTGGGGTGTGGGGGGAATGAAGAGTTAAGGGAACTGGAAGATCAATACAAGCCAAGCATAGAAAGAACAAGCGTAAGTATTTTTTAGTGTAACAGTACGGTCCAACTTCTAAGCAGCCAGGGGTCACATCTAATGTAAGATGTAACTTCATTAGAATAAATGATGGAGCAGGAGATGGTATATCCAGACTATCCTTTGAAACATTTTAGCTCTGTCAAAACACTGGCAATCACACAATTTGAGGACAAAAGAAATGCAAGGGTGGCTATAATGAAATCAAGGCTTAAATATCTCCAGTTTCACTTTGTGGGTACTGCTGATATCACATTACTAATTCTCTAGCTGCTTTTAAAAGTTTTGAAGGAAAAAAATTGAGTAGACAAGCATAGATTTCTAATGTAAACAACAGAAAGACACTTTTCAATCCTCTTAAGTGTAAGGAAGTAGCAGCAAAGGGGCCAGGCCTTACCTTTGCGGATGATTTTGAAGATGCTTATAGCATTAGAGATGGTAGATTTAATTTTTTTTCAAAATGTTGGCAAAAATGGTCACCGTTTTATAATAATTTTTTCCTCATTCTTTTTAGCCAACTGTAGTTCTTGTCAATGGCCATTTGGCTCTATTTCTCTGTATATGACCTAGAGTATTATTTTGATGAAAAAAGCTTGCTGATATAGGAAAATAGTATTATCAGTAAATTTAGCTTTCTTAAGTGAGTCATTTTTCTTAAGATCTAAGTAATGCACACTGTCTAGAAAAGCAAATAAGGTTATCGTTTCTGGTAATATCCTTCAAAAATGTTTCTTTCACCTGAAATATAGAATACATATTCCTTCAGCAGTTATTCTGCCTGTCCTAAATATACCTCTGAAAATTATATCAGTCTGGAGGCAAGAATGCATCTTAGATCAGTATTATGATTGAGTTTTCCTAACTTCTCAACTGTTTGCTAGAAGCATTTCCTTTGTGTCAATAGAAGAGCAGAGAAATCCTCTATACTTATGGCAAAAAACAGTGTTTTCCTCCTGCTGCCAGAAAGTGAACTATCCGACCTTAAATTCACAACATTATGATTTATAGAAGACCTACCATAGATCTTATTTTTAGAGGTTTCTGAAATGTAATAGCTATAATTTTTCTTTCTCTTTTGAGCTCCCTGTATTTTAGATTTATGGAACTAGGACTTTCTGGCTTTGCAAATAGTCGGGATATAAAATAATATTCTTGATTAAAGATTAGGAAAAAAAACAAACCCTGTCTGTGGAATAATTTAAACAAATCTTTTTCTTGTTGTAGGTGTATATATATATATTTTCTTCTCTCCCTTAGAGTTCTGTGCATTTTGGACTCCTAGAACTAAGACATTCTGGGTTCACCTACACAAGATGCTAACTGTGCAGTAGTTTAACACTGTGCAGTAGCACATGGGACAAAACCCATGCTAATATGCTACTGCGCAGTAGTATTAGGCTATTGCGCAGTTAGCAGCTGAAAAAACCCCATTCCCTGGCACTACTGTGCAGTAGCGCCAGTTAGTGCTCATTGATTTAGTACTTGGTTATCCAAGTACTAAACTAAATGTTCAGTAACTACAGTGCATTAATGAATGTGTAGACATGCCCACTGGCTGCATACTGGCAGATATTGATTAAGATGTTAAAACTTTTAGGACATATGTGTAGCATAATGGCATATTGTAAAGACTTAACTTGTACTCATTTGGAATGATATTTGTAACCCCACTATGGAGTAATGCATTTATCCTCAAATGTTTACTTATTTAATGTTGTGTGACGGATAAGTGAGTTTTTAACTTTTTCCTTGGTCTGTTTGATTGTGTGGGAAGTAGACTCTGGGGACATTGAGTCTGAGCTGTTCTATTCCTTGAGGGTTTTGCCAGTAATTTAATGGAAAGCTGGGTCAGGTGCAGAACTACATTTGGTTTATAGGCTTCTACTTTATTAACTTTTTAAATAGCAGAATTATGACTTGAAGGTGGAAAGTTTTTTGGTTTTGGTTCTTTCACATATCCCAGCTCTGTCCTATTTTTTTCTGTAATAGACTTTTGAAAATCTTAATTTATCTGGGAACCCAACAAACAATATTCCATGTGAAATATTTTTCTCCTTCAATTGTGAATAAGGTAAACAATTTGGACCCTGTGTATTGAGTTAGAGGCCAACTAAAGTGTTTTATTTTTTGACTTACACCAGTGAATTAATTCATGGAATCCCACTTTTAATTTTCTTTCTTATGTCTAGACTTTTCTGTGTCTGTCTTCCATTTTTGTGTCTTATATGTAGTACTGTGTGAATTCTCAGTATCCAAGGTGTTAAAGAAATTCTTTGCCTCTAAAGTTTTTTGATTGATAGGTGCAACTTATGAGTAAGCTAAACAACTGAATTTGGACCCTTTGTATATGTATCTCTCTGTATGTGCATGTGTGTATAAATACATTGTATGTCATCAAATGTATACACGTACCTAGGTAGACAAGGTTCTTTGGGTAAATCTGATATCTTTTAT